AGGGGCGATTCGGGAGCTGCTGGGCTGGCTCAGCCCAGCCAGCTGCCCAGCACTGCCCCTGTACCACCCCGCGCTGCCCGAGCAGCTCGAGCTGCTAGCGCTCAGGCTCAGTTTGGGGAATGCGACTTGTGGGGAGCATCCAGCTCAAAGGTGAACCCCGGTGCTGTTTTTCAGGAGCAAACCCACTTTTCTATGCATTCGGTAGAGGTCTGAACTGTGCGAGAAGTGAGGTTTGTGTCAGGCCTGCCACGTTACTTGAGTGCTCTTACCTTAAAACTCTCTTTGGAGGAAAGAGAGAGAGAGAGAGAGAAAGCCAGTATTTCACCCATGTCAGTGTGCCTATTTTTTCCTGAAGTAAGTTTTTCTGTTGTTTTCTCTCTTGCCCAACACCATGCCTCAAAGTCACAGCAGGTTCAGAGCTGGTTTCATCAAAGGGGAAACAGCAACTGAGTTTTCACTTCTATGAAATTGCAGCCACCGCACGCAAAAGCTGGATCAGCCTGTCTTCATAAATTCTGTAGCACAAAACCTGTGCTCCTCACTGCCCCTCCAGCAGCATGTTTATTTGCAGCAGTGCATCTCTTTCTAAAGATCGCATCTCGGGGGCAGAAACCCTTCTGCACATGAAACCAATATTGACTATTCATTGTCTCCCTGAGACTGCAGGCAGCCTGAAACAATAGGGGGGTGTGGTGCATCCTGATGAGTTTCCATTTTTGGACCTTGATAAATCTGAAACCTAATAGTAACAGCTCTAAAATGGACCACAGTAATTATCTGTTCAGTAATCGCTTTAGTACTCAGCCGTCTCACACAATCCCAGATGGCCTCCCATGTCTTCCTGCGTACCCTAAGATTAATTTAAAACCTCACGCTTGGACAAAGACTCCAGGTTTCCCTTGAAAACTTTTCAGACGCGACTGCAAGCTGCGAATATGGAAAGCAGCGCACTGAGAATGGGAAGCATGGCGAGCCTAAAGGTACCTGGCATTCAATGTAAGAAACAAACTAGGGACCAATTACATCATTCTGTTTCATATGTAACTCAATCCAAATCTCTCTCTTTTTTTTTTTTAATGAAATGTCCACCAAGTGTCAGAGCAACACAGTATTTAAAGGCCTAAAGCAGCAATTAAACCCAGTCAGCAGCAGAGAACACTCAACCTTTGCATCTGGGGGCAGCAGGGGAGAACCCAGGCACTCAAAAGATAGCACAGAGCCCTATTTTAGCCACCCACTCCAGATCGCTGGGCTGCAGACAACCGCTTCCCATTTTTGGGTTTTTGCTGACACCTGGCGTTCTGGAAAAGATGCCATCTGATTATGTCCTGCAAGTTTGCTTCGGTTATGATGACCGCTCTCTCGGGTCGGAGAGATGTCTGTTTGGGAGCTAATCTTGAATTCTGAAAAGAACCTGAGAAATCCAAGCATGCGCTTAGGTTTCAGAGGTGCTCTTTAGTGTTCTGAAGTCAACAGAAGTGCTGCATGCCTTGTCATGTTCTTACAAGCCTCAGGGTATATAATGTATGTTTCCTAACATCAGGAGTCAGAGGAATTATAGGGGGGGACTCTCAGGCTTCCTTTATTTTTAAACAGTACATTTCATTGCAAGGGAAAGTAAACCAGTATTGTGATCCAAACCCAACAGATCTTTTTTAGAATGGTTGCTCTACCCAAGGCAGCCATTTAGGGTTAGCACCAATACCCACAAAACATAAGTGACTGGAAACAGAAAACGAAAAGGAAACCATGCTCAAGCACTCACAGTGGCATTCTTATTTATTCAGTTAGAGCATCAAAAAAGGGTGGAAAAACAACATGCAGGATGGCATGTTTCAAACCAGTGAAAGAGGAAAAAAAATTACCATGGCACCTGAATAAATGAAAGTACAGGAGTGCTTGTCATCAGTACAAGCAATACAATACAATGGAGCTAGGCAGACATCTGTTTGACAGTGGTGGTGTCTGCTTTTCCCTATGGTACAGGGACCTGTGATAGCAGCAAAAGACTCTTGCTGTGGTTGCTTTTGAAGATGTCAAAATAGCCATTACAAAGTGCATTAAGAAGTCTGATCCCCGTACTTTCTTATTCATACAGAGTAAAATGCAGCCTCTATTATTTATGACAGATAGCACTTAGTCCTACTAAAATGACGTTGAAAAGGCAGGAACAACATGACTTTTCAGCTCACAGGCTGGACCAAAATGGACTGTTATTGAAAACTCTGTCCACCCTCTTACATTTCCAAAAGAAGTCCTGGGATACCAGAGGCAGGGACCATCCCACTAGGAAGCACTCTCCTGAAAAGCTGTGACGAGCTAACAGTACTGAGACACCTTTTCATATGTGATCACAGTACGTTTTGTGTCACACTGTTCCTTTGAAGGGCACTAGAAAGACTTGCATCCGCAAATTAGATCTGAAAATACAGACTAACAGCCACATTTCGTAAAGCTTATACTTAAACGCCAGTGTTTAAATCTCAGGGACTTGAATTATGGCCTTATAAGGAATTTCACTTTTTTTCCTTTGTTGCTGTTTTTAAATCTTTTTCAGAGTACGATCTTGTCTGCAAAACACATCCTACCTCTATGCAACAACATAGTATCTTGCAAAGCCTAATGTTATCCTTAGATAAGGGCAGTGGCCCCTCCAGAAATAACAGGCACCAGCTGTCCATCTCCTGTGCTCAAAGGTTTGCCTGATCAGCATTTCTACTTCATTCCAAAAGCCTGCCCTGCCCAAATTAGACCAATACCATCTCCCCAGGAGAATGCTGCTGCAAACAAAACGCCATAAATAAATAAACCCCCACCACAAGGATTAAATATTTCCAGCACAAACACATAACAAAAAGTATATATGATATAACAACAAATTAATAAATAAGGTGAATGACATGGCCTCACTCCCGCCACACGAGCTGTTGTTCTGCACATGCAAGGGGCAGTCATGGTCTGTCTCATCTGCTGAGCAGCAAACTCAGTGCTTGGGAGCTTCTCCCTCCAGTTCCCACATGCCCAACATCCACTGCCCAGAGATAATGCAGGCTTTGGGACTCAGGGAACTGCAGAGGCTTCAAGCAGCAGCCAGCAGCCAGGACCACAGCCTTTTGAGGTAACTTGCCACTCACTTCACCTCAAAGAGATCAGTGCACTTAAGCATTCCAAAAACCCAAAGTTCTAGAAAAACACTTATGAAAATGGCCTCTCACACTGAATAGTCAGCTTTGTTACAAATTATTTTACAACCTCAATCCTTTAAGTTGTCTCACTGAAATCTATGGTGATTTTGGCCTTTCCACATCATCCCAGTACAATTACCGGTCGTTGTTGCACAATGATTTGAAATTTCAAAAGTCTGGAAGTTTTCACTAGGAAATTGAGGCAATTCTGTAGGAAAAGGAGCCTGCCATCAAGGCAAACAAAAATATATATACTACAGTTACGTATATTACACTTTTTTTCTAAAAAACACATAGGTATTTCACACACTTGTACACAATTTTCAAACAGCCTGTTTGAGTTCATTTCTAATAATGTCAAATTTTACATCCTCTCCTGGAAGACGTTCATTCTTTTACTGGAACTTCCTGTAGGTGTTCTAATCTTGATTAAAGATCATGAAATATCCCATTGGTTTTCAGAAAGCCTGCGCATCTCAGCCTCTTGAAAAGAGCTTGAAAGTTGGTAGGCGGAGAACACTGCCTGCTCAGCAGCAATTCCTTACAATACTTTTTGCTTTTCTGTAACATAAAAACTCACAATAAAAGCACGTGTCAATGTTCACACTTGGTTAAGCGCAGTGAAGGGAGACCTCATGCTTACAGTTTTTATTTGCATGGATCTTGGCTTCCTGGAGTCTTCAGAATCCCTTTTAGAGCCATTTTTGAGGGCAATGGAAGACGGAGAGCAGTTCCGAGTCACTCAAGGGCTTTTCTTTACTAATAGAGGGAGAAACACAGTCTTGAGTCTTGGCTTGTCAAATTCTCAGCGAGGCCCTTAGGCACCAGATTGTTCCACAGCCTACAAGGAGAGCAAAGACATTATTGTAGGAGGTGGTGCAGTGAGGCAAGAATATGGCTTGGTGAAGACAGCCGCTGACTGGATGAGGCAGCTTTGGCTTTTTGTCAAAGTAGGCCCCATGGTGAGACAGGAGAAAGGCATGGCCATAGCTCAGCAGCAGAGCAGCAACCCAACAGCTGGCTCAAGTGATCTAGCTGGGGAGAGAGATTAAGGCTTTGAAAGTCCTCAGGCTGCTGGGATCTCAGAAAGGAGAGAACAGCTGAGCCACATAAGCAACCTGGCTTATGCGAGCCACCCTTCTTCATCTACCTCATTCCTTGGAGTCTACCCCAAAGCTGCCCACACTGGGCCTTTAGCTTGCAAAGGGGAGTGCCCTGTCACTGGGACTGTATGCTGTCCTGCACCCAGCCGACCTCAGTAAAGACAGTGACCCCGAGCTCCAGCCAGAACTAGAAATATTCCTTAGCAGTTGTTCTGAGGCTGCTCTCACTGTTGGTGAAATCAGAGCCTGTTATGGGCCAAAGAGACAGCTCAGGTAGGACTGGACAGTTGGCTTTGGGACTCGTGTTACCAAAAAGTTATCAATCAGAGGTGCTCTTAGAGGAGTGACTTTTCAAATGAGTGAAGGATGAGTAGGTCTGTCTTGCAAGAGAAGGTTTCTACTGGAGTTTGATACACAGAGTTTGGCGAAGCAATGACACAGAGTGGGAAAAACTAGGCGTGTCCAAGTATCTGTAAGATGTGGATCCCAGGAGAGAGGGTGGGATGGGGCAAGAAAATATGTGGGAAGTGGAACCAGATGTAATGGGAAAAAGAAAACTTAAAGGGAAAATGCAACAAATGTCCTGACAGGGGGATATTACACAAGCAGCCTTCTTTTTTGTCTCATTTACAGCCAGTAAGTCTTTTCAGTCCCTTTTTCCCGTGACTTCCTGAGGAGATGGAGCTGGTCTAGAAAACCCTCAGCCTACTAGGCTCGTGTTTGGGTCTGGTGCAGTATCCTAACTCCATGCTGGCTAACCCAGGGGGCCAACAGGGTCATGTCCATCTCAGGACTGCTCACCCCGATGTCCCCTGGCTGAACCAACACCCAGCCACAAAGCTCCGTGACACCTGCTCACCGTATGAATTGAATTTCTGGGCACTTGGCAAGCTCCTCTGCTAGCTTTGTGGCCCCACAGGCTCCAATGAGATTTTTCTCCAGACTATTTTAAAAAACAAAGAGAGATCTTTAAAAAGCAAAATAACATTAGGAATGGAAAATATTGAGATTATTGCTGGCTCCTTCCCCTGTCCCAGAAGAGCTTCACTTTTGCACAAGCACATCAACGCTCCACAACTCACATCAGCCTCATCTTCATCACCATGGCCCTGTTTATACAAGAAGCGTGTGCTGCTCCCCATGACCTCCTTCCAGCAATAGGACCTGTCAGCAGATCTGCTGCCCTCAGAGCGTTCTGACAAGCCCACTGCAACCTGGGGGCCAAAACATGCTAGAAACAGCTTTTCTTGCCTCATACACAACCTTCGTGCTTGTACCCATGCAACAGCCAGGCAAACTCTACTGTGTAGTTTCCTTGCCCAAGACAAATGAAAAACAGTTTCTGATCCTTTGAACCTCAGACTACTATTTTCATATAGGTAAGAACATATATCATGTATTTCAAAGGGCCAAAGGGAGGAAAGCTCCATGAACAGTTCTTGGGCAGGAGATGACAGTCTCTCCCATGGGATAGGGCTGGGCTGTCATGCCACTGAGCCACTGTGTGACCTGGTGACATCAACCCCAGCTACTGGTTGCACTACAGCTTAGGAGCTGCATTTGAGCTTCCCGTGAGCTCCTATGGCCCAAGACCCACAGTCTGGTTGCTCCATTCTGGGGACGGCAGTTCACATCTTGCTGCAGGCATTCACAAAGAAAGGCTCTCTAGGCAAGCTACTCATCTAGACCATCTTTCTAGTCATCAGAAAGAAATAAAAATTTGCAGGAAGCAGCTCACCTGAGGTCATTAGATGGTATGACTCATGCCCTAGAAATACCAGTTTCTCTTCCCTGACTCAGACAGGAGGTCTAGTAGGACTAGGTTCTGCTTAGATACCTACAGTAAGAACACCTCAGATAAAACAAGTGCTACTTCAATGCCTCTCTACCCTGTGTTTCACCCTAGGAGGGATGGCCACTGGTGTACACAGCAGGCCAAGCAAGAATTTGAACCGCGGAAGCCTGACTCTGTTGTTCCTAGCATGCATCCCCTTCCTGGCATGGCTGCGACTGAAGGCTCAAAGACACAAAGAAGTTTCCCTGAGGTTGCTCTCAGGGACATACTCACTCTAACATCTTCAGCTTTTCCATCCTTGGGAGAGCACTGGCCAACTCTTGGGCTCCTCTGTCGCCAAGGGTGTTCCAAGACAATCTGAGATGGACAAGAAATCCCAACTGTTGAGTCAGCCAAGCCCAGGGGAGGGTGAATGTAAGGGGAACAACGGCACTGCTGCCATACAACCCTATCACAGATTAGCCCAGTCATTTACAAGAGCTTATCGCCCTCTTATCACAGCAGGTAAACATTCCTCTGCTTTACAACTTTAACTGAGGAGTTTCCTCAGTTTTACCACATCTTTCTGTGTGTGATAAGACACCAGGCTGCCTAACCACAGAGCCCAGGGACTGGTGCTTATTTCTGTAATTCTCTAGGTCCCGGGAATGAGATGCCAAAGGTGGAAGTGACAGTTGAGCGCCCAGCTTTATCCCAGGACACTCATCTTTGTGCTGGTGGTGTTAAACTATTGTGGCAGCTAAGGTGGCCCTCAGACCTGCTCTTAAAGCCTCCCTTTGTCTCTAAGGTCTTTGAAAGGATAGTCACAGGGCACTTGAAAGGGTGGGTTTTTCACTTTCTGGTGTTAGCACATGAGAAAATATTTCAGCTGCACAGCCTGGTTACTTCCTTCTCACCTGGAAAGCAAAGTCCTAGCATGGCACCAGTCAGCGCTTCACTACAATGCTCAGCTGAATGATCCTGGGGTCACCCCCTACAGTCACTCCTCTGCCGGATTCTGGGGAATTCCAGAATTTCTGTATTTTTCTGCCAAAAATAAAGGCAGAACAGGAGCCAGCTCAAGAATTGGGCCTTCCATTGAACAAGTTCATGGGCTGTTTAGGGTTTTCACAGGTGTCAGGAAATTGCAGCCTGTGGTCACTCAAATCTTCCCAAGGATAAAACCCCCATGTGCCTTCACTGACAGGACCAGCCCCCTCCTAACACTGCAAATAAGGGAAAATCCATCAGTCTACACACTTCTGTAATGCAGTACTAGTAACTCCCCACACAGTTTATTAGTCCTAGTGCCATGCTGCAAAAAGCAGCGACGCTCCTATGCACTAAACATTGCTTTACTCACTCCCTTACTCCATTTCTGACTCCCCAGGAATGTTGCAAGACTGCTGTCCCCTACCTGGATTACATGGCGTTAGCATCAGACATCTCCTCTCCCAGGACTGGCAACAAAATCCTGGCTTTGACCTAACGCCCTGAGTCCTAAGATATCTGTGATCTCCACACAGATACCTTTCAGGGGAGGGAGAGGAAGGTCTGATGGGCTTGTGACCCATGTATCATTTCATTCAAACCATCTGTGAGTACTTTGCAGAAGGGGAAATTGAGGCATGTAAGAGTAACATGACAATCAAGTGCTGCCCAGCTGGCCACGGCAGAGCAGATTAGAAACCCTAGGTCTGTCTATCCACTAGACAGACCTATATCCTGATAGAGGAGTGATCTCAGCCTGGTTCCTAGGAGGTCTGTCCAACCCCCAGCATCTCCAGCTGTTTCAGTCTTTGTTACTGCTACAGACAGCTCCAGATCGACAAGGTCATGTTCCCCAGGGGAGCCTTAAATGCTAGTCCTACTAGCATCAAAGTTAAGGTACCTCTAGTACAATGGGGCAAATTGCATTTAAAAAAACATTAGTTAAGGCAGGTTCACTGCAATTTCCTTGCTGAGGTTCTTGTGGACAGGGGAACACATAATAGAAAGTGGTTAGCCTCTCTGTGCTATTTATTTAAAACATATTACACATCTACATTTCAGTGCAACCCTTTTCATTCCAATGTGGACAGGGTCCAAATGGGTAAGTGAGATTGCAGTTGGTGGTACTCCCTGTTCAATTACAAGCTGAATTCACTTTGCTTTGAGCTCTCAGTTCATCCTCTACAATTGCACAGAGAAGCTCCTGCTCTGCTCTGAGAGCCAACTGCACCCATCTGAAAAAATGGAGGCAAAATTGGACCACGGAGAAGGCGGCCTAGGAGTCTGTTCCTCCTCCCAAAGGAGATGCTAAAACATGAAGGATAATGGGCAGAGTCTAAAGATGAGTGTTTTCCTCCACGTTCTGTTCAGCTCTTCAGACTCAGCTTCCAATAAGCTGCTAGTTATACCAGGAAGTGTTTCTTGGTGAATTTAGTCAATTAGTAAATTACTAGTAAATTTATCAGTAAAAAGTACTTAGCAGTAAGTATCAATATATATTTAGCAGGGTCAGAAGTGCACTGTAACTGTGATAGTAACAGCAGACAAGCATGACCTGCACGTTGGAGAAAGTCCCCATCCATTCCCATGCTCACATTATCTCCTCCATGGAAGGGCACTGCCTGAAGCCGTGAGAAAGCAATCTGGAAGCATCATCAGTAATTCCACAGAGTTTTAAACTGAAGTGGGGAGAGAGGGAAAAAAATAGGGGGAGAGAGTGTTTGTTTTGCATTTGTAGTAACTTAGATTCAACATCAACAATCAGTGAACAAGAGAGTCAGGCACTATGTAACTACATCTTGGGGGTCCCCGACTCACAGATCTGGCAAGCCGGGAAAGGCAGGTGAGCTTTGAGCTGTCTGGCCACATCCCCAGCCAGCATAAATGGGCACAATGTGGTGGGATGAGACCCAGCGGGGAATACGGCACTGGCACCAGCCCCATCTGCTGCGCTCTTGTCCTGACAGCGCTACAAACAAGGCCAGCCACCCTCTGCCCTGGTAGCATTCAATGTCCTGGTACTTACTCAATCTTTCGGAGGTGTTCAAAGCATGGCAGCCCCTCAGACAGGGCATGGATGCCTCCTTCCCCAAGGCAATTTTCTGATAAACTGTAAGAATAATGGAAAAGCTTTAAGCAGCTGCAGGAAAAGCAGCTGTAGTCAGAGAAGAGCCAGAGCCAAAACCTAACTACGTGAGTTAACAAATCAATAACTAGTAGCCAGGCTAAGATAAGTAAGGGCTCTAGATACATCAGGGACAGGCCAGACTAGGACATGGCACCTCAGGGTCACTTTTCTGCTCAGTGAAATGGGAATGACACCCTGCTCTGACTTGAAAGCATAAATCCATGCAGTAGCAAATTGCCTGGAGAGAGTAACATGGAGTTATGCCAGTGCCTGAGATGGACAGATCTGCAACATATCTGTATTGCATCTGAAACTGGAGATGAGAAGTTATATTAGAGTTAATGACCGGTGTGACTGAACAGGAATGAAGGTAAACTTGTCCAAAGGGAGAGTGAGAAGATATGGCTTTCAAAGGCTCAGTGGGCAGAAGTAACTGCCTTCCAGCCCTTACTAGCATGTGCTGCTCCATTCTCATTTACCAGCAAACACGAGCCATGGCATCCCACCTAAATTACTAGCACCCTAATTCATTTTGTCATTTAACAATGTACATATAACAAAGAGTGGTGGCATCAAAGGTGTAGGAGGAAAGTTATTCACGCAGCCCATGTTCTTTCAGTCTTGTATTTAGAAATTTTGTCATTCACCAGGTTATTGCCTACAAGACTTCAAAGGCACCTATCTATGCAAACCCAAGCAAACAGCTCTGGCAAACAGGGTTTGACATCTAATGGGACCTAAGCTGCCCCCAGGCAGTGCAGAGCAGCAGTCTTCAGGGAATGTTTCCTCTCATCCTGTGAAAAGTGTGGAGGATTGCTGGAGGAATTGCCTTCCAAGGAGCCACCCCCCAGCCCTGCACGCAGAAAGAGCCTACGACTGCTTCAGGCCTCTGAGCTGAAATCATTCCCATCCGCAGAGTGGTATCAGCACACACATTCGGCACCATCCCAAGTGCTCCTGCCATGGCCTACCTTATCTCTTCCAGCAGCTGACATCCCACCAGGGCTCTGGCCAGCTCTGTGCCTCCTGCTGGCCCAATGTTATTGTCCTGCAAGCTGACAAAAGAAACACAAGGACTTGGGGGTTATGTCGGGATAAAGCTGTGACAAAAGCTCATATTTAACTTGCTAAGAAGAAAACTGCCACATTTTTGAATCAGCACCTGGTGCTGGAAATAACCTGGGATCCTTGGGGTTCAGTCTTAATGAAAGGACTTGAAAACAGGGTGGCAACTGTGGAGGCCAGCAGTGTGGCTAGCAAGTCACATGGCTCCCTGCTGCTTTGGGTGACACCTGGCCCTACAGACATGCAGGTCACTGGATTTGCCCATGCTCACAATGAAGGAGTGCATTTAGGCAGGCAGTGCAAAAACAAATGCTACATGGCGCAGCTGGGAGTCCATGTCCAGCCCTGTGCACAAGGGATCAATTTGAGATGACAGTGAGGAACAACCTTAGGAACCAAAGAGTGGATGGGACCTCAAGTCTGCAGATATCCCAACATCTTTTCAGTGGAGACAAGAACCTGTCCAGAGGACTGAAGTTTCCCAGCACTGGGATTGCTTTCCTCAGTTATCTTTTGAGGCTCCTTTAGACATAGCTTGGAAAATATCCTGTAGGCTAACTGAACCAAGCTCTTTTAACTCACAGATCTCTTGCTTTGCTACTCTGACACAGTGTGAGAATATCCTACGGATCAGAGCCTTGGAAAGACTCCCATACAAGGTTTAAAAATACGGCACCACTGAGTTCTGCACTGAGGTGTAGGCACCTATGACTCAGGTGACTGCACAAAATAATAAGAGACCACACAGATGCTCATATTTATGCTTACATTACACCAGATCAAGAGAACAGCCAGAGGCATCAGAAGTTAATGTAGTCAAAGACCATTAAAAGGATTATTCTAGTGTATATACAATGCCTGATTCATCTGTAAAGTTAACACTGCAAGAGATTACACAGGAATAGTTGATGTGACACTGCTGATGGAGTGATTTAAGGTAATAAATAATAAAGGAATTCGGTCAGCGCTTGATGTCGCAGAGTACGTGCAGAGGATTTACTCAGGGAACTGCAGAGGAAATAATCCTGAGCCACTTAAAATAATCTCTGACCCATGAACCACTTCAGTCTATGCCTATTTCCCTTTTCAGCACTTTCTTTCACCCATTCCAGATATTCCCAGGATACCCTGCTTTCCTGGGGCAGAGGCTGACACTTACTGCAGGATCTTCAGGTCACTCATTTGAGGCAGACAGAGGGCAAGTTTCACTGCTGTCTTGTCACCAAAAACATTCCTAGATAGTCTGGAAGGACCAGAAACAAAATGTTACTGGCAGCAAACTACAGAGCCTCATTCCTCACCTGTGTGTGACCCACACGTATCTGGGACCCACATTCCTCGCCCACATGTGCATGGGACTACTGTGGAAGGAGCTAATGTCCTCGATCCAAAGGACACTGGGGATGGGCAGAGATAATGCGGACGTTTTGCAATCCTGCAGCAGAAGCTAAACAGTGAAGTAAAATATGCTATGCTCACACTGTGACAATGCTTCTGGATATCACCTTGGTGGTATCACAGACAGACGGAAAACTAAGTAACTCATATTCTTTATTCCTTTTTTTGTTGTAAAATACAGCTGCCTTCTTGCAGCCAACCGGGCTCGTTCCACAAACTAGCCAAGCCAGGACTCCTTTGGCACAGGACAGACTGTTGCCCTGTGAACATGTTAGAGGACTCTTAGGCTTCGGCAGTAGAAGGTGTCTTGTACATGTGGAAGCCATCAGAGCAAGATGCCACGTTTTGGAAATGCTATTTCCTCCAGCATCTGTTGACTCAAACACCTCAGGAATGCACTGATCTTCCTTATTGACTGGGTTGCATGATCAGCCGCAATCATATTGAAATTGCCTTTTTAATATGTGCCCTTAGTCCAATACCTTATAATCTGAAGGTTATGTGAAGAGCTCCTGAATTTTCATTGCACTAGAAATAACTTTTTCTGATCTTTTTTTTTCTTTTCTTTTTTAATATGGAAGCGGAACATTCATCCTATAAACTGATCTAGAATGAAATGACTGATAATAAAATCAGCTGTGAATAAAACTTCTAATTGTCATCTTCCCTCCATTTTGCAGCCATAAAGACTAATGCTGATTTCTTAGGCAACACATGCACTGCCCTTGAGTTTCAGCTCTTCCCCACTGATGGAGTCTGCACGGTTTTTGAGCATCTCCAACAGACTGCAATGAACATATAATCTCAAAACCTAGCTGATACAGCCATGGGTTTTACCCCGCTCTCATAAGTGGTAAAACTGATTTTGGCTTTACTGGGGCCAGACCTGACTTGGTTTCCATGCCTTATTTTTGCCCAACTTCCTGAACGGACACTGGAACACACTTACAGCAATTCCTCAACGCGCTTGCAACAGGCAAGAGCTTCGACGAGCTTTTCTCCTCCAACAGGACTAGGATTGTTTCCAGAGAGGCTAAAATAAGCATGAAAGACTCTCAGTGACTGAACTAGAACCAAAATGTACCAGGTTAAAGTATTTCATTGTGGGCTGGTGTAATAGGAGACCCAGGTCAGTGTAATGATGGGCTACACAAGGCTGCAATGGTGTGTCCAGCACTGACATAGGTCTCGGGAAAATGCCTTGGGAAAATGAAACTGGAGCAGTTTTTTCTCTCTCAGACAGAACTGGGAAAATCCTTATCTTGTTCAAGGAGCTGGTGAGATGGATCACCTCAAGGGAGGTGATCCTGCCCCTCTCCTCAGCCCTAGGGAGGCCTCCCCTGGAGTACTGTGTCCAGTTCTGGGCTCCCCAGGACAAGAGAGGCATGGTGCTACTGGAGAGAGTCCAGCGGAGGGCTACAAAGAGGATGAGGGGACTGGAGCATCTCTCCTGTGAAGAAAAGCTGAGAGAGCTGGGCCTGTTGAGCCTGGAGAAGGGAAGCCTGAGAGGCGATCTCATCAATGTGTACAAGTATCTGAAGGGAGGGTGTCAAGAGGATGGGGCCAGACTCTTCTCCGTGGTGCCCAGTGACAGGACAAGAGGCAACGGGCACAAACTGAAACACAGGGGGTTCCGTCTGAACATGAGGACAAACTTCTTTCCTGTGAGGGTGTCTGAGCACTGGAACAGGTTGCCCAGAGAGGTAGTGGAGTCTCCTTCCCTGGAGATATTCAAAACCCGCCTGGACGTGATCCTGGGCAATGTGCTCTAGAGGACCCTGCTTGAGCAGTGGGGTTGGACTAGATGATCGCCAGAGGTCCCTTCCAACCTTGGCCATTCTGTGATTCTGTGATCCTGTGAGTTTCCAGGGTTTTTTTTAATTTCAAAAAATTAAAAGAGAGACACCCCAGATCTGAGCCTAACAAACAGCCTGGATGCCCTAATTTCTGTTCCCTCAGAGAAGGGACAGCTTGAATCTGAATCTCTGAGAAAATACCTTGACTGGTATGACTTCCCACAAGCCTGCAAGTTTTTTTTCCAAGGCACAACTCAGCTAGCAGTATCTCTGTTCAAAAAGCTAGTGAAAGCAGGCAAGTGCATACCGCTGTCTCCGGGGACAACTGCCTGAGAAAAAGACTGTAACCATCACTCTCATAAAGTTTGCTACACCAGCCCAAAAAGTAGGTGTCAGGCCCAGCTGTATATAGGGAGGACAGGGGAGGAAAGACCTTCCATTGGCTTTGTAGATTTTTTATGAGGTCTTCCAAGAGACCGAAAACCCTGGAAGGAGTTGGAACATTGCATAAATGAAGGCAGCACAGAGCTTCCGACATAGGCTTTCCCACCAACTGTGGCTGTAACCAAAATCAGTCCAAACAAAACAAAGTGACTCACTTGATTCTTTTCAGGTTTGGCATTTCCAGCAGGACAGCAGCTATATTTATCAGGCCTCGATCGCCAATCTTGTTGTGGCTTAAACTTTAAAGAGGGGGAAAAAAGGCTGTGTTGTAAAGGAAAATGCTAAGGGTCAGACAAAGCACGATATCGTATTAAACATTTCCCATCTGCTAGATGACACAAAGTTCACCTCTGACCTTGACAGCAGCATCAAAGAGCTACTTCTCGTAACTGTCCCATGAAAAACTAACAGGTGCTAATGGGGCATGAAAAAAATCACAAATAGCAACCAAAATCACTACAGGATCTTATTAACTGATGGGAAATGACTTCAGCCAGAATCCCAAGCCAGGTATGGTTATTGTGTTCCATACTACTATGGCCCAGGGTGGAGAAGGGACAGGACATGGCTAGAGAGGAAGGCAAAAAGGCAGAGCTAGGCTGGGACTGGATCTAGATTCAGATCTTTCCAAAGCAGGGAAGTGCTGGGTTCAAGGCTATCCCAGGAGAAAAGGGGGCCTTGAGCTCTGTTCTGGATCCAGGAGATTCCAGGGAAGATTTAAATCTGGAGGCTTCATTTAACACATGTGACTGCAGCGAAGGGGGATTACACTAAACTCTCCCCTTCTGAACATCAACCTCTCATTTCTTCTAACCTAAGATACCTCATAGAATAACATTTTGCAACCTCTCTGCTTTTGCAACAACACTGTGCCTAAGCACACCTGGATCTCCCCAAACGTCAGCACTCGTTCTTACCTCTCCACTAATAGGAGTCTGCAAGAAACGAGGAACTTACTTTATTTCCTCCAAGTAGTGCATTTTCCTCAAGGCTTCTGCAAGGCTGGAGCAGCCTTCATTACCAATACTGTTATGGTTCAAGCTGGAAATGAGAGCCCCACAAAAAATGGATGTTAAGCTAGCGTTATTCAAAATTACAAGCCAGGCTATAGGTGAGTTGCAGTTACATACTTACAGAAGCCTTTTCAGAGATGGCATTTCACGGAGTCCCAGCACAAGCTTAGGAATGGTAGCATCGCTGAGTCTCATGTGGCCTAGGCTAAAAGACAAAGGAACACAGGAACAACTAACTACCCATGGATCAAGGCAGGGTGCAAGTGCAGTTGCATGAGCAACCAGAGCAGAGGAGTGAAGAACAAGGGCAGAAGAGAAGTGGGAGTGTATTTTAATCCCTGTGAATAGTTTTCAGCTTTGCTTTCTAAAGTAATTCTACTGGATGCTTTTGGATCCCAATAAAGCACCAAGAATCCCAGATCTCTGCAGCAAGAACTGCTATTGGCCTCAGGCTGCCCAGCCCCTTCTGTGGCAGGATGCCACTGTGACTGCAATACAGATGGCAAAGCTCTCAAGTCAGTGGAATACACAGTCCAGTTGCACTTCAGAAGGTATGTTGAGCTGCCTGGAAAAGCCACCTCATTGCGCAGGCCACCAGATCACCCTTTGGGACGAAAATACTGGCTCTGGAATTACTGTACTGGAATCACTGCCTCCCAGCTGGGATGTGATGCATTCAAATACCAGCTACCAAAGTACCTGATTCCCCCATTGGACATTCCCTGCCACAGACCATTGATCTCAGTCTCTCCCACCCCTCCCTCATTGCAAATAAAAAGGAAGTGTTGCTTCTTCCATATATGAAGTCCACCAGCCATCAGGAAATGCACCCATCTGTCCATCTGCCCACAATACATGCAGAAACGAGGGTGCAGTTTAACTAAAGCATCTAGAAAGACCCGGCAGACTCTGGACAGCCTGGTGACAACACACTTACTTAAGCTCTTCAATACCCTGGCACTTCTGCAAGCCAGTGATCAAGTAATCAATTCCAGTTGGCATAATACTGCTAGAGGTCAGCCTGGAAAACAGCAAGGATCAAACAAGAAGGTCAAGTCTCAGCCCACTTAGGAAGAGGAGAGTTCGCTTCCTCACTGAGAGGCAAGGTGCCCCTGTTCCAACCTCCATCTAGCAGAGAAATCAGGATCCAGTGGGTTTCGGGAGACTTCCACACCACCCATGCACAGGACTACAAGGTCTAGGTAGTTCAGAGAGATCTTGGAAACGCAGGATGCATACATGTACCAGGTAACACAGCCTCTGTCTAAGGCAGCCAACCCCAGCAGAAAACATGGCCCACAGCATTTCACTGGGCAAAGATACCCCTTATCATTTACAGGCAGTTGAAGAGGGTTGTGAATACAACTGAATGATATTCATATCAGAAAAAGTTATTTTACATGGTAGGGCAGTATAAAATTACCTATAATGTAAACGAGAGCCAAGGTCTCAGTCTTAAATTATTTTTACTTCAGAAAGGGGGGAGAGGAGAATCAGTATCTAGCCAAAACCTCAAGACATGCACATGGTACCTCAGTAACCACCTATTGCACCAACTGCAGAGAGCTGCAAAGTTCATAACCTAGATAAGGCTCAGCACAGACCACAGAGTTCATGGCCACCATCCAGACAAAGAGTGTTTCAGAGAGGATCAGGGCAAGGCACAGGGTTTAGCTAACTGTAAAGCTCAGGGGAGAGACCACAGCTGTGCACATTCAGCAGCAGAAAAGAAATCATGCATAGAGACATACCCAAACTTCTTCAACTCTGGAAGAGGTAGCAGAATATTGACTAGCATTTCTGCTTCATCACCATGGAGCTCAACATGAGACCATCTGCAAGAAGAGAACAACAGGTCTGGGCTATACCCACTGATGACAAAAGGTCTGTACCCAACCCACAGCTAAAGCACTCGGGTGCTGGGACACTCAAGAAGGTCCCAGGACACCTGAGAAAGTCCCCTGGAAGCTCCTAGTCATGGTAAGAGAGCATAGGTTATCTGGGCAGAGGAGCGATTCAGACACGTTCACAGAATGATCCAGAAAGCCTCTGAGTATACGGGCCATTTCTGTTTTCTGTCTAAACACTCTAAGTAAAACAGAAGGGGAGTCCAGAGGGGAGGGAATGGGACCTTGCACTGCCATCTCCCGTGCTCCCCCTTCACACAAAAGGACAAGCTACTTCCTTCCCCACAAAAAAAAACCTGGGATGCCTGGCAACTCACCTCAATTCCTGAAGCTGGGCACATTTTTCACGAACCCTTTCATAGAAACAAGCACACTTGACTTCCAGCTCGTACAGATTCAGTCTGTGGAATGCAAACACACACAACTGCCAGTGTTGACCAGCAGTCTTTGTAGCTGTACACAGCCTTCCCACTGCAGCATTCCTTAGAGCAAGGCTTAGGAATAGATCAGAGTCTGCAAGTGCCCTCTCTGGGCTCTCCTGCTATGTCCTGTCTGCCCCATGGTCCAGTGTAGGGACACACAGCCCTTTCCC